CCACCTGGAGCGGGGTTCGCGCGAAAATAATAAATTTCCTGCTGCTGCTGCTCATGGCTGGTACTACCTGCTTATCATGATTTTTGCGTAAAATTTCATCAAACAATACATTGGCCAAAGAGATCGTCAATTGGTATGCTATCAAATGCCTACTGCAAGGGGTGCGGGTAAATGAAAGTGCAAATAAATTTCCATCTCATCTCCAGTAAAGTACAGATGTTTGACAATGGTAAGGGGTAAGCAAGAATGAATGACTCCAAGGTCCTCTCTTGATTTTTTGCATTGTCTCGGTTAATTTGTGGATAAACGAATGCAAATGCTATCAAATGCAGTTTGCTAGAAAACGCGATTAGATGGGGTGGAAGATCGGCAGAGTCCAATTTATGGAGTAGTGTGATTACTGTGTCGCTAAGACGCTCCAGCTTATCAGTTACGTTTGATCGGATAGTCACAGATTGTTATGATCCTTTCAGGCTCTGAAGAAGGCGATTCCGCCGAAACGTCAGCCCAGTAAAGGTTATTTAAAAACCTTGTGAAGAGTTCAAGACAACAACAAACCCAGTAATATGCTAGCAGAACCCAGTGAGACAAGAAAGAATGTAGAACAGCGCGCCAACCGAATAAAGACAGTTCGTTAAGAATGCTTGGAGTGTCGAAGGTCAAATTGATATTGATGGTACACCTATCAAGGAAACCTTGTCTTACGCTTTTCTCGGGCGTTCCATGAACATGAACAACGACATGAAGGAAGAACTGGTAAGAAGGCAGAAAGCAGTGAGGACAGCATTCTTACCTTTGAAAGAAGTCACCGATCGTCCGGCTGATCCAGAACATCGCGCTAATTTGTTTAGTTCCACAGTCTTCCTGAGCTCTGTTACACGTCGGGAACTTAGGTGAACGTCAAGGGCTTTGAGCTAGGTCACATAGTACTCGAGCGGTCTCCCTGACGTTCAATCGCGTCAATTATTACCGAATTGACCCATTACATCTACTAATATTTATTATCAACACTTTATCAAAAGGTAACATCCAATCTTCGCAACGGTGCAACATCTGCAGTTGAAAGATTTGTGATTGAACAGCAACGATGAATTGTAATGTAGAAAGAAAACCATTCTTGTTCTCCCATATTCGTGGTCAAGCAAAAGAGAATTTCACGGGCTAGAAAGGAAATGACGAAAGACATTAATATCAGGATTTTGTGACAATGCAATGCAGAATTTCTTTGCAAAAAAGGATTACTAAAAGAATCAACTTAATGGCATGACGGATAAAGCGACACTTTAACTACACTGAATATCGATAGTAGGCTACAGGATCCTAAGCTTGACCATGTTCCTAACCATAATACCTCGTAGAAACATCACAGATAACATCATAAAATCACGATAAAATCAAACTGCGTTGACAATTAGGAAATGCAAACATATAAACTCAAAAAAGTGGAGATCAAAAGCAGTGCCAAACAGCTGCATGAATCGTTCGGCATACATGTCAAGAACGGGAATGCAGTGACTACAAATTGTATGATGCATCGGGAGAAGCTTAAGGCTATTCAACCATGATTTTCAGATTCATTCCGCCGACTCGAACCTTAAAAACTCAATTCAATCCAATATTATTTTTGCACAAACGTGAAGTAGAGTAGTCTAGTAGGGCCCGACGATCCTTTTAATCTACTCTGCTTCAAATTTGGGCCCCAATGATAAACGCCGCAGTCGTCCAGATCTCCACCAACTTCGCCACGCAGTTTGCCGCGCGCACCCACAATCGCACGAATCGCTACACACCCGGTTACCACAAACTACTGTATCTATTACTATTACTTTCGTAGCTATTACGGGTAGTGAACCATATTTTCAGATTCATTTCGCCAACTCGAATCATAAATACACAGTTTAATCAGTCGAGCATACGACATGTTGCGGTCGTATGAGCACTCAAAGTAAAACTTTTTTAAAAGCAATGGCTAGATAAAAACCGAAAAGGTTGCAGATGGCTACAAACGACCTAAGTTTGACAAAGGCAAGATCGTCGACTATGAATAAAGATTACAAAAAAGAGATTTTCGATAGACCGTACCTCCACAGTGAAGCAATCACTGTAACGTGAGACGAAACTCCAAATTGTGAACTGTCCGCGCATTTCTACAGGGACTTCGATCAGATTCCGATCAATTAGTATTGAGGAGGGGAAAGACACGGATATCTGTAACAATTATCAAACACAAAGAAAACGAACGTTCGAAATTCGCGACAAGAAAAAGGTGTTGATGATGATTGAGTTAATCGAATCGAGTTTTCATGCCGTCAAGTGCTTTGAAAAGTAAGCCTACCAAGATGGTCAACAAAGAAAGTTGTTAGAAACCAACGGATCGGTAATGCAACAGGAAGCCGAGTATGTTTTGCGACTATGAGTCCGAAATTCAACATTTAAGAAATGACAACTATTATTACGGCGCTGATCAGCAAAACTAAAGAATGGATTCCAAAGCATGCGGTTGGAAAATGGCAGTTGTCTGCAACCGAAGTTTTACCGTCGGAGAGTGCTGCTGGCATTATTAAACGTTCTTTAAATTCAAAGCAGACTCGACGTTTAAAATTTGATAATTTTTTGATTAACAGATACAACAATATAAATGCACAAAAAAGTCTGTCGACTTTTTTATCCAAAAACACAATCAAAACTGGGAAAACACTCACTTCCCATTTCGGTGCACGCATTTCGGCGGTGAGTTCAGCCATCACATCGCAACACCGCTTATGGAAGGCCTGGATGACGATTTGAGTCATTTAAAGTTCTAAAGCTGTAGATGCTGTTATACAAGACGAAACACATTGTTTCTGTCGCAATCAAAACCAGTATTAATATTATACCTGAGCAGCACGACTGATTCCACGATGAGTGATGGCACATAAAGGGAGGCGAATATTTCGACGAATAGCAAGGTCTGAAATAACGAGGCGCTCTAAAGCCGAATCGTCGAACATGTGATGCAGCTGAAATAGAAACGTAGTTTCCTACAGCGGCACTGTTTACAATCAGGGCTTCATATCGATATCAAAAACATAATGTTCGGATGAATGAAGAGATGTAAAACCAAAACTTACCAGAGCTACACTTGGTTCTATGCTCACATCCTGCGCAGGACAACACATAACAAGTTCGGGCGCTAACGCCTCCAAGGACTGAATGGAGCAGTGATTACACAAAATCAGCTTGTTCGATGGATACGCCTAAAAGTGCAATACTTAAAAATGATGTTTTCCATAAAGCATATTACTAATCTCCGAAGTAGCGTGTCACCCGAGACTGAGTACAACACCACTCTGCGGTGCGATCAAAAAGGGGGAATCATAAGTTGCTACAAAACAGAAAAGTACTGAATTCTCACTTTATCGATGAGCTTGGCAAGTGTACTGGCCGTGACAGTGTGAACCCTGTCAATGACCACATCGCTGACAGCTCTGAACGAGGCAGCGAGAATATTCGAAGCTAAAACCTCGTCCAGTGGAACACCACAGAGTTTGAGGGAATGGCAGACGCATACGTGTCTATAAAAGAATCAAAAGCAAGACTCAGTGATTAGAACTGCAGTCATTCACAAGAAAACTTTTATCAGCCGGAAAAATTTTGTTGACAGACGGTCTGACTAAGGTTAACCAACCAGTCAGGTAACAAACCTCATTATATTTGGAAGACGGGTGGCCGGAACCATGATCTCCACTTGCTTCAGAGGGCGGCAGAGGGTAACATAAAAGCTAGAGCATGTGAAAGCGTGACTCTCTTCTGAAGAATCCACTAGGTAGGATTCGGTGTACTTATGACCGTGCAATGACGGTGCCCGGAGTAAAACGGACACCTGGTCAGAACGTGCCTTTCACGTTGCCATCACTTCGCCTGATCTCAATACCACCAATGATGTTACGACGTACTAAAACATGAGCTCTCTTCTCGACTAGGGCGCAAAGACGATGATTCACCTTCAAATACAGAACTGAAAGCTCTCGCTCATAATGGAATGACTTTTATTTATAATGTAATAAAAAAGCAGAACAAAAAGTCGAGGCAACCTACTGCCCGCATGTTCATTTTCGACGAAAAGTCACAGTACAAGATAATCTTTAGCAGAATTTCGTCAGGTAGTTCTTCCAGTCTGAAAGGGTACAGAACTCGGTGAGCTGCATTGATCATAAGGAACGTTGAGGCTCGACGAGAGACCCTAGTTTTGAGGAGTTCGGGCGAAAGTGGATAATTTAATGCACAAAATATGTAAGAAAAAATAGAGAGGAGAACGAAAAAGAGAGAGGAATGGCAGGCAACTTTATATTTTTTTACAAATGCAAAATTGGACGATTCTCTGAACTGGCGCATACTCGAACGTCTCTCAAATTGTGCTTTCTATCCTCAAACTGCTCCGCAACAGTATTGGTCAACATCGAAATGTTTTATCATGTAAGTAAATATTGCCAACATCTTTAAACAAAGAGGGATAGTTCAAATAGCCGAATCGAATACAAAAACGAGTATTGGATCCCTCATGGTGGGCTCGGAAAGAAAAAGTAATTATCGAAACAATTTTGGCTCGGTGCGATGTGAAGGTACCTTGTTACTTTTCTTGCAGCATTCAGTTCCCTTTGACAGCAGAACACAATTGAAGACAGAAGCCGAGCAAGTGCTTCGAAAACCTTAAATGATGAAGTTAGGAGGTAAAGATGCCAATCACCTACCGTCGCGACAGTCACCTTTCTAGACAGCTTCCTTGCGGTGAATTTCGATGACTTCTTTGATGTGAAAGGCACGTTATAGGTTGTATAAATCTTTTCTTCCATCTGCCAAATGCCCTGAAACACGTGAGATCATCAAAAAATTCAAGCTTGTTGTTCATTATTAAATTATTCTTCGGCATTAGTTCCGATATCCATACGCAATAAATGGCGGTAGGAAATGAAGTTGCGGGATGAAGAGGCCATCGCTCCTATCCAACTCTGAGCGTTAGAGACAGAGGAGCAATACCCGACATCACTTGGGCTTGGAGACGGTTAATTCAAAGAAATACAGTTTCTACCAAGCCTTGAGTGGGAAAGAGCACCGGGATGGATTAGACGATTACCACATGCAAGGAGCTATGGTAAGGTAAGAACTGAACATTTAATTGACCAACCAACGTCGGTGCTTCTTCCCATCCAACGCCTAGTATAAAACTATATTTGCTCATCTAAGAAGCATTCCTGAACACCGTTTGTGGGCTCACAAAGTCGACTAGTGGCCCCCACTCAACTACATTTTCATCACCAATGCCAATCTAGTTCTAGTAGATATATAAGCAACTTCTTGAGTCTGGAAGCAATAGTACAAGCTGTTAACGGCATCTGCAGTCCACTTTTTGTCCTACATATAGAAGCCCACACCATATATATCGACTCAAAAAATGCTGACCCAGCTGCCAATTTCTCCGCCAACAAATTTCGGAAGGTACCGAAGCTTATAGAGGAAACAATATCTATAATGAAGAAAAAGGTATGGTTAACACAAATTCATGCTAGAGCTCTGATTTCCCTCTTATACGGTGTAGGAAGGTGAAAAGTGTGCCTCTCTTCTTAAGATGTTTCTGCTACATTTGAACAGAAGGACGTGAACAAGATCAGCATGCCAAAGATGAGAGGGGGTTCAGTGGCTAATCTGAATTCAGACCACAAGTTTATAAGCACCTGTAGTGACAAAGAACAAGCCTACGTTACATCAGAAACTTGTCTGTCAAGAAGAAAACGTTCACTTCTACCAAAGACTTCGAACTCAATACAAAAATCATGTTTTCGTGCTGGGACGTACGCCGATTTCAAGGACCGCTTTTAGAACTCAACAATGCAATCTTCGACGTCCGTCCGCCTGTCGCGTGCTTGCGAGCGACATCGGCGCTAGCCACTTGTTGACAGCACTGGCACTCTGAAAGCAGCCAAGGCTCAACAGATATACAGAGATAGGGTGTGATCATCGGTAGAATATATGACTTACAGGGAGAANTGAAAGAGGAATTCTCCTGTCACCATGGCCTTCCCGCAGTGCCTAGACACTTCAAAATAACGCGCTCCAAGGCAAAGGCCGCGACGCAACCGCCGCAAGTAGTGTTTGTCTGATTTTGTTGTTTAAGTTCTTCTTCCAGAGGTCGGTTGGGTTGTTGGACTCTGAAAGCAGCCAAGGCTTAACAGATATACAGAGATAGTGTGTGATCATCGGTAGAATATATGACTTACAGGGAGAAGGATTCTTGGTCGCAGTGGCCATTCGTGTTGAGAAGTATACTGCCGTAGGTGTTCTCGAACGCCAATCCCAAATCCATGAAGAGCGTGAAGGAATCGTTCTCCTCTGTTTTATACCACCGTGCCAAACTGGTGAGAGGAACAAGCGTTTATCTGCGCAATGGTGGCGCAGTTGGGAGGGCAGTGGACGCATAGAGATAATATGGGAGTTCGGGTACTTAGTGCAAGTGCTCGTTTTGGTTTCTCATGACTCATATTGATTGTCTACGAACCTCCCTCTCATTTTAGAAAAATTTAGAATATATATGGAAAATAATTTTCATAATTTTCCATGCCCTTTATGGGTTGGTGCAGCTCAATTCGAGCAAACATCAATTGCGAAACCTTGGCTCAAAGTGGGTTTCGGAAGCTGAAAGGAGAAAATGTTGTATCAGTCAAAACGCTCTTAATATATTACGGGTGGAAGGTGGTGTTATCGTATTCGTTAAAGGACTTTGGTTCGTGCGACATATCGTGGGTACCATCTAGGAAGAAGCGAACGTGATGAGGAGCTTTTCGATTATATCTCCTGATGCTATGTACCACAACCTTGTTATCAGATGCAAGAAGACGAGTTTGTGAGAGACGATCAAAGTGTTCCTTTTCGGTTACTTGGTGATAACAACGACGGACTCATCACATCGCGAGAGGGAACTTCGTACTTTTTCGGCGATACAGAGGTTTCAAAGTAGAATTCCACGAAGTGAAGAGTCGATATCTTTTCATCGTTCGAGTGCCCATAGCCATAGAATGTTTTAGCACGATCGAGTGCGAATTACGGAACCTGAGGTGAAGTGCGAGAAACTGTAGGCGTCTAATTCGTTTTATTTTGACAAACTATGATATCTTATGTGGTTGCGGTTATAAAGTGCAAAATTAGCGGATACCTGTAGAAGTTAGTGGAGACTTTGAAAGAAGAAGCGATTCCAGTATGAATGTATTAATTCCAACGCACGACAACGATTTTCACCAATCAACAGGAGGAAATCAACAGTGAAGGCTCCATAGAGGACCACAGATAGATCCATAGAAGTCACGAGTGCTTCCAAAGAAAGCAATGGTCGGATGAGTCACTCGATCGCCCTCTACTGAAAGTGCATTGAGCTGCCAAAATTTCATTTTACAGTCTTGAATGTTCGAGTTACATGGGCACTTCTACTCGGTTGCTGGGTGGCAAAGGAAAGTCTTCTTGGATCACCATACTCGGAGCTATTTCAATAGGAGAGTCGTAGATAGTCAATATGAAGCGTGACGACGTTTAATGGCATAGGACACGTTTCGCGAAAGAGCAATACGGCACGTTCATCGAGGACTCGAACCTTCATTTTATGCCTATTAGCTTCCTCCCTTGCAACAGCGCCAACGTTGCACAGAGGAGTAACTGCTCGTTCCACTCCACACTTTATCACTTTGGTTAGACACAGCAGTATAACAAATACGTCAAAGGGTCGTTTGGTAGAGTGGATTTGAGATTCGCGTTCGAAAACACATGCAGTGCTTAGGCCGGAGCTTTTTTGGGTATCTAGCAAAAATCCATTCCTCCTCGCTTACGAGATGGGCCCTCACATCAAGATAGTATGAATTTACCTGTAAACGAATGATGCAACTCTTATCACAAAATTACCGAAAGGGAATGTCCAGAATGAGACGGGCCCTGCAAACTTGAGAGAGGGCGCTAAAGGAAAGGTATTACACGTCGGCAAAAACCTGTCGTCTCGTTAGTGATTGGCACAGCACTTTTTTTTTGTCAGGGCATTCGTGAAGAAATCTGCGCACCACCCTGATGTTCATCCCGGAGCGTTCAGTCAGCAATCTGCGTGGTCCAACGGTCATCACAATATCGCATAATGTGTTCGGCCCAACTGGGCTTACTAGGTGCAAGCAACGACGTCTCTGAAATTCGTTTGTTGAGCTCGGAAACTGGATTCCATTCTAACTTGTTTGAATAAAACTCAGAGCATGGTCCTTTCCACAGCATCTTGGCTAATCCTGAATGCGTGCTTATCCTGTTTTCGTAGAGTCCAAGCCTACGAGACGAGCGTCGAAGTAAGAAGAACTGCAACGTCGAAAAGTGGAGCGGGAAACCGTATGTTATTTGTTTTCTTCATTGTTTTCCTCGTTGGCTTGAATACTCCCCACGCAGCGTGTTTCCTCCTGTTCATCTCCGAAGCTAGGTCGTTCTTCATGATGACCTGTCAACCTAAATATACGTATCCGTATTCAGACATATTCATTCCGTCGAGCGTAGAAGGAGCACCAAGTGTTTTAATCCGTTCCTAATCAGCATCATTTTCGTCAGGTTCAGCCATAAGCCAACCTTTCCACAAGCGTCACCTAACGTGGCCAACGTTCGTTTAACCAAAAGGATATTCAGTGTTATATTGTGATGCAGGTTGTTGCCGAGAGCTGAAAGCTTTAGTGAGATAGTATCGTTCTGCCAAACCTCTCTCACATTAACAACAAGTTTCTTTCAAAATAGCGAGATCCTTGTCGCAAAACCATTGTAGTGCTCACGAAGCATCCTCATGTATTGAACACGAGCAACTTTGCTGCTCAAGGCCAAATTACCGAAGCTGCCTTGACAGTATCGAAGGCTTCATTCAAATCCATGAACGCAAGACACCTACTCGGGATCGTCTACTCTCGCAATATTCGAGAGAATAGTAGTTGCTGCAGTAAAGATGCAATTGAACCCTCTGCGACATCTTGACTCCTTACATGGCTTTCGCTCAAGTACTATTAACAGTGCCACTTGAGCTTCTGATTTTCAAACTCTTTACTGCTCTGCCGCACAGGTTTGTTATGGCTCAACCGCTGAACCGCTTTATTGATCAAAGTTTCGACTGAATCGACTTCTTCAGAACCTGAAAATAGTTCGAAGGCTTCAGTCTGTGGCTTATCCGACCAAGCGCCCAAACGTGCTAGGCTAGTTGCAACAACTCAGGGAAACTACAACTTCAAAAAGTTCCCAGCAAAGTGACCAACCTTCCGCGGCGCGACCAGCGTTGCGTCCCACTCTATGCGAACATCAAGTGAACAATGAGGCACCATTGGTGTTGAAAATTACGCTGGTGATCTCTTCTTCAGGATTTTACATTCGATGTGCTGCTCACTTTGCTGGGAGCTTTTCGAAGTCTAGTTTCCGGAAGTTGTTGCAACTAGCCTAGCGCGTTTGGGCGCTCGGTCGGACATGTCATAGACTAAGACCTTCGAATCATTTTCAAGTCCTGGAGACGACGATTCAGTCGAAACGTTGATCGATAAAGCGGTTCAGCCATAACAAACCTGTACGGCAGAGCAGTGAAGAACATTATGTAGAGTGCCCAAGTTTCACCGAACGTGGAAGTTCTTCTGATTTTCGTTTTAGACCTTTATCATCTGAGCCTCTGCCCTAGTATTTCTATAGTAGCCATCACTTGTTCATTCGGTCTCATGGAGAGCATGGAAATTTGTTCGCCACATTCGCACTGGCAGAACTGACTGGCAAGCACTTCGAGGAGGGTGTTTGATCAGCAGTAAAAAAGTTTGTTCAG